ATGTGTTATTCTTCTTTGAATTGGATTTTTGCCAGCCCTCAATCTTGGGAATAACAGCCATGCAATTAATGACGAGATGAGGACATATGCCTTTTTCAGTAACAGTGTTTACTTTATTATATACTACTTCTTATTTAGTCCATCATGCTGAAAAAAGAGCTATGCTTTCCATTATGTCCATTTCCATGAAGATACTGGGATTCAGAGAAGCTTGCTTTTTTAAAAATGTCCATTTATTTATAGAGTTATTAAAAATATAACTTTATACAACTCAAAAAAGCTCCTTTAAATCAATAACATAAAAAATAATGAGTTGCATTCATAAGTGCAGAGCAAAAACAAACATGATTTTTATTCATCCCAAAGTGATGCTATTTGTATCTAAGCCCTTTTAACACATTTATATCTACATCAGAACACATCATATGATTGCTTTCTTTTTTCAGTTTTATGTTCAATGACAAAACCAGAAAACAGACTATGTATTTACTCATATGTTCTGCTTCGTGTGAAAAACATCAAAATGTATTTTAATATATTATTTAACTTCTTTAAAGTATTTTTTATTGGAGATCTTAACCGAATTCTTCTAAAACTTCATCATCTTAACCACCAATTTGCAAGCTACATCTATTATACCTAGATATTTTTCCTTCTATTTTTTTATTTTAACTTAATTTGCACAAGAAATCACAAGAAAAACTGACACTCACTCAAACTAGCAAAACAACCCTGAATTTTTTTCCAGTCATTTTCAAAATGATTGAAAAATTTACTTGGATATTCCCACAAGACAAAACTTGAAAACTCTAAAAACTTAGGTTTAACTGATTAAGATTTTTTTATTTTGTATTAATTTTTATTTTGTATTAATGTGTCTTGGGCTTGTATGCAGACACTCCATCACTTGGGCCATTACTCTACAGCAATATTATAATAATAATAAATTTTTTTCAAAAACTGTCCTTTTATAACAAAGAAAGGGAAGTCTTCAGAGATTTGGTTAGCTGAACATAGTGTCACTGGGCCACCCATTTAGACTTGTCTTTACTTTCCCCACTTTTTACCCCTTCCTAATCCTATTGTGAAAGAGAGGTTCCAACTAGATGTTCACTTGTTAAATTCTAAACCTGTCTTTAGATTTACGGAATCCAGAATAGCTCATGACCTTTGTAATTTTTTCTTTAGTTCTTGGTTCTATGTATCAACTAACAAAAAGCATTAATTAAAATTTAAAAAACTAAAAACCAAAAAGTTGAATAGCCCGCCACTAAAAAGTTGAATAGCCCGCCACTAAAGGTCAAGAAATAATCAGAAGTTCCAGAGAAGAAAAAAACAGGAGACTCATGCCCTGGATGGTCATTACCACTCTCAGCACAGAGACTTCCTGTCCTGTTCCTCCTCCACTTACGGTACAAGCCCTTTATGCCACAGAACGCCCCAGGAGGAAGCTTTGAGGCAATGGCCCCTCTATCTCCTCGTGATTGCCTTCCCTTGACTATGCCTGATTCTTTCCTAACAACTCTAATCTCCCAAAGTTGGCCTTGACATTTTCATCATATATCAACCTATCATCTCAGTGACCTTGGAAATGAAAGCCTAATCACGAACAGGGAGAATTAAAAAAAAATTGACATTTTTCTTGTTTGAGAAGGCAAAAAACAGCAGTTTTGCAGACAGAAATTGTTCTACAAATAAAAAACCAAAAGAAAGAAATCAGTAACACTTATTATACAAGAGATACTTGCAAAGTTCTAAGGATATAGTAAAATTGATGTCAAATTTATCATACCCAGTGTGGCATCATTTTTCCAATACTACTTAAAGAGTACTTTGCTGACTTGTTAGAGATGTAGCAAACCAAAGAATTGACTACTCTTGTACTTATAAAATCCCGAAAATGTGATAGGGTACATCCACAATATTCAACATTTGAACATCATGACCTGAGAAGTCAAAACTATTCAGGAATGAAATTTGGGAAGAACTGGAAAGAACACAAGAGTAAAATCTCCATGCTTAGACCACGTTTCCTACTAAACAATTTTTCCAAAGCAGAAAACATTTCTTGTCAAACACCAGTATTTTAATTTTTCTACTCTTACATTATCTCAGTTCATTTTACAAATAATGGCTGAGATCTCTTATTATATGTTCTAGATACTGGATAAATGGAAAAAGGAAGGTGCATTGCTAGTAGAAGGAGCAAAATGTTCTTTGTATTGAATTTGATCCAGCAACAGGCTTCCTCAGGAAATAACTGAAAGGTTACTGTAAGTAATTAAAGGTTAGCCTGGTTAGGAAGCAGAAGTTAAAGGCAGATTTTTACGAGGTAAGACTTTCAGATGTTGACTTATCCTAATGTAAATGGGAATCCAATGATAGAATTTGGAGACACTGCAGTGGGGATGATGGTAATTTTCTTTTTTGAATATTTGCCTGGTTGTACAGAAGAGAAAAGAATGATTAGAAGAAAAATTAAGTAGGTGTAAATGCAGTACTTACTCCCTTGATCATCAACAGAATTTCATTTGAGGTATTCTATAAGTTAAACAGTTCATATAATATACACCTTTAATGTTTTACTTTCCTGGACCATCTCTTTAACCCCTGGACAAATATTCCCATGGACAAATATTATTATGCTATTATAGAATTCTTTATAGGTATCCTTAAAGTCATTTGCTACCTCATGTCCATATGGTCATTTTCCCCTCTCCTGCTGTGGTAGATACGTCTTTATCCCTTCCTTATTATCATAGGCACCATACATTATTCCCTGGCCAACCACTGAGAAATTCTGAATGAGGTTCTCAGATCCTGTCTTATATAAAAGAATAAATATAATTCTGGCATGAAGAACATTCTCCAGCAAAAGAACATGAAAAACAGTAGTCAAAAATGTAGAAGGAGACTGTAATTATAGAGTTGTAGGAGCCAAGGAAGAAATGGGAGAGCAACCACCATATTATATAGTGTCTGAAGTAGAGTACAACGAGAATAGAGGTGCACATTGCATTGGCAGCATAAATATCCCATTGATGATGACAACAGCAGATTCAGTGAAGTGTTGAAGATGGACACTGGACATTGAAGAAAAATGATTAATTCTGAGAATGTGAAGATTGTAATGAAAAAATAGAAATCTGTGTAGAAAAGATAAGAGGTATACCTGAATTTCTGAATTTTGTGCCTGGTTTGAATTCAATTTGAAATGTGACCACAAAGTAGCTGAGGCTGAGTAGTAAAGACAGAAAATAGGTTTATTTTGTCTGCATTTAGGAGGGCTGCAAGACCAATATCAATTAGTCAGTTCATTTCACCTCTTGCTGGGCATCATGGTACATGGCATCATGGCCTTACATCACATCACAGGGTGAGACAGGAATCCAAAGAGGGACCCAAAAAACATTGCTTCATTTCTTCTGAGGGCAGCATTCTCAATGACCGAACCATCTCAATAGGTGCAATCTCTTAGTAGTTTGAAAACTCTCCCATCACCACTGAGGGACCAAGCTTCCAGATAAGATTACTTGGGAACAAACTACCATCAAAACAAAGCATGGGTTTCTAGATGAAAGAATGGAGTGCAAGTAATCTGCGGGAACAATGTAGCCTAAGATAACTACAAAAAATATATAAATGGCACAGCATCATTACCTCAAGGGCAAGTAATGGACTTTCTTAGGATGAGGCATATATTTATCATGACATAGGAAAAAAGAAAATTCTAGGGCAAAATAGACAAATTGTCAAGTGGTCATAGACCAACCTACTTTTCCCCCATTTTATGCATGTAATTCTCAACAATAACTGTAGAATGTGCAGGAAACACATCCTAAGATGAGGAAGGACTGGCAGGAATAACCCACACTTTCTGTCCCTTCAAGGAGAGGACATCCCCCAACAAACAGCTCAGTGTGACTCCTAAGGTATCCAATCTAGAGCACACTACTTTCTGGGTCCCTGTGCTGTGCAGTAAATGGAGCAGATGCAGATGAGACTCCATCTGACCTAGGCAGCTTTCCTGATCCTTCCGGGTCTGGGTCACTATGAATGCTAGGTTTCTGATGTCCCATGATGACAATCAGTAAATAATAAGCAGGTTTCATGCAACTTCTTATTTTTGTATACATTCTATTTCATAAGACTCATAAAATGGTAGAAAGTGCAGCCCAAGGTACAGTGGGTTGAAATGGAAAATCCATACACAGTGAATCTGCTTTATAGGATGATACGAAAAAGAAGGAGGGGTTGATAAGTTATAGCTTCTATTTTCTTATTTAAACATAAGAAAACAACTGAGAGTTATTAGAAGATCTAGGTGCAAGGAACAAGATTTTTACATAGAAAGTCATAGGAAAGAGAATAAATGGATATAGGATTAGGAAGAAAACCTAGGACACATAGTGTCATGGCATCTCTAACCAAATATTCATAGATATAAAGACAATGAACATAAAGCCATACAAAACAAACAAATCCAGACAAAGAAAGTTAGAGAAGACTATACAGCAAGTATAACAATCCTATGAAGTCAATAGAACTTAAAAAACATTGTGTGCATAATTAAAGTTTCTTCTGTTTTGAACTGTTATTTCCTTACTGTGAAAACCATATGAATGAGCTGCATTTTACAGGAAATCACCTTCAAATAAATTCTAACTAATTGAGAGGAACACTCCAAGGAAGAAATATTACAACCAGAAATGCAAGATACATAGTGGACAGTGCTCTTAATGAGAAAAAAAATACATTTGTCAGGATGCTTTTCTTAGAAATAGTTTTCAAATGTAGGTTAAAGTAAGTCTTCCAAAATAATAACATCTTTATTGTAGTTGTAATTGTACATGCAATATACTGTTTTTAAAAATTATTTTCAAACTCATTATTTATAACTTCTACTAAATGTTAATGAAAATTAAGAATTAGTACAAACAAGAAGACAAATATGCATGGTTATAGCTGTCTTACATGGTTATAAGTTTGTAATTTTTATTTTATAATTTTGAATCAACATGAATTGCAATAAAGGGGTCGTCAGCAGAGTTACTAATAGAGAAATAGGCAGTGCCATCACTGTTAACAGTGACCCTAAGTCCAGAACAATTGCCATTAACTTTATCTCCAGAAATGACATCACAATATGTGCCAGCAGGAAGGCCAGTTTGCAAAGTGGATGAAAATGACCTGAACAATAAAATGTAATATTTAACTAAAATTCAACACTGTCAATGCAAGAATGTGGGCTGTCTCTAAAGCAAATAAAGAGACTAACTTTGTATTGTAAAACTCGTCGCTGTCAAAGTCTTAATAAGAAAAAGACCAAACACAAACCTCTTGGTAGATGTGAAGATCAAAGGTGATTATACCAAAGACCTAGAAACTTCCTAGTGTACTAACATTTAATAGTACAGAAGTCAAATGGGAAGTATTACAGGTGAACTCAAAAATTTCCCAAGAACATCCCGACCATACGATGCATATTTTGTATACATATGCTTAAAATATTATTTGTCTCAGGAAAAGAGGAGTCTGTATTCCACAACAGCGGACAGAGTAGTAGTTCAGACACAGAGCTGGGAAAAAAAATATGCAGTACTGAAAAATAAAGTAAACAATCAAAGAAGGGAGAGAATAAACTAAGATTATCATAGCATAAAGGATAATTGTTACCTGAGAGCTACTTACCAGTCATCATTGTTAAAGACAATGAAGCCTCTGTTTCCTCTTCCAAAGGCCACTTGGTTGCTACCATTATCCCACCAGTTTGAAAAAGGCTGGCCATCAACTACGTTTCTGAAGATAACCATGTTCCTAAAGCACAATGTCATATGAAATGCTGGTACCATTAAACTTCTAGACATTAAAAAATAGGTTAAGAATCCTGTTAGAGGATATCTGTAAATAAACATTCCCACCTTATTTGACGCCATCGATGTTCACAGACCCAGTCATTGCCACAAGTACTGTCTTCATTAATGGTTACTTCTTTAGTTGCTCCATTATTATTGGGTGGCCCAATCCAATCATTAGCATCCTTAGTTATGAAAAGCAAAAAGGTTCAGATTGTTAACGTACATGTATATCCATCTTCCTTCTCCATTACATTAAACCCAATTGATTCTGCTACTAAGTCTCTACACTGTCTATATTTAAAATTCAACTCATTCAGTACTTTTATGTTCATTTGCTGAGATGTTATCCTCTCTGGGGACTCTAGTTCTCTAGTGACATATTTCAAAAAGAACAATGTATTTTTATCCAATTGTTTTCTGGTCAACCAATGACTTCTTCATATCCCTGGAATCACTTCAATGTCATGAAACTTTAGTTGCACTGGTGGAAGAAACTTGGGATTAAAACCTATGTTCCAATAATACTTGTCTAAAAATCTCTGTTAGGATACATTACTTCTGTCTGGCTCAGTTTCTTCAGGTGTAAACTAGAAATATTCCTTGATACCTATAAAAATTAAGCAATGGGTATGAAAAATGATTTGAACAGAAATGTTCCCAAATTAATATCAGTTGGTTTTCCACCAATATGGTAACCAATACATCCTTGTATTCTTAACAAAAGTGACCAAAGTTTTGAAATTATTTTTATTCTTGGCACATGAAAGATATATCTAGAAAATAAAACAATATAATTTTGAGGGTTATTATCTAAAATCATCATTTGCACAACACTAAGATAATTTAGCATGCTGAAACCTAAAAAAGGAAATAAGGGAATTAGAAATAATCCAAGTCTTTGATACAATAAGACTATTTCATGGAAATATCAAAAGTAACTCCACTTTAGGGCACCTCATAAATATTAATGCTATCCTACAATAGAATGTGTTCCTAGACAGAGTAGTGGTCTTCCCAAATTGAGTGGAATGAGAAAAACTGTATGTAAATAATTCTTTGACTTTCAGGACAGGAAAATTTCTGCTTTTGGAATGAAGTTCCATATGATGCTGCGTCTGAAAACTACCATTTAAAAAGGAATCTTCTAAATTTTAAAATACATTTATCATGTTGTTTCTTGGTCAGTGTTTTAAATTGCCCTTTAGAGTAATGTCTTTAACACACTCCCAATTATATTTCAGGGTTTTTTTCCTGAATTACTCTGTAAACTTGTAATCTTTAATACACATAATTTTCTTACTCTTCTGTTTTTCGTATTTTGCCTGAGATCAACTGAATCCTTTCTTTGTGTTACATAAATTTTTTTAAAAATTATATGAAAATTATACTGTGCATACCTAGGGCAGAAACTCTTAAGTTCTTAATAAGTAGTAATATGCTCAATTCAGTTCTTACATCAACTCTAAGAAGTAGATACTCACGAGAAGTTAACATCTTACTCTCTGTATCTTCTTATTTTCATTGATTTGTTTCTGTAGTGGAGGGTTTATTTATCACACTTCAGAAAGTATTCTCATAAGAATTTTAGAATAAAAGGAACTTAAATTTTATCTCTTTAATATCTGCTACATTATTAAATAAGCATTCAACATCAGGTTTCATTAAAATAAACACATGATGTATAAATAATGAGTGTATAGAAATCTTGTGAAGTTAAAAGCAAGATACGTTCATTTCTTGAGAAGAAGATACCTTGAGCAACTGAAAACTTACTTGTCCATTCTGAATATTTCTTTGCCAACGGTAGCTCGACATCACATGTGTAAACCCATATGGGTGAGCAAGCATAAATCCAACTGCCATTTTATACATTCTGTTGTGATGGGTTGGGGTACATCGCGACATTTACAAAGGTCTTTGCAATGTATCAACTATATCATACTTGAATTCAACCTCTCCATCATTACCCATTACTCCTCCCCACCATAACCCTTTACTCCTCCCCCACCATGATATATGGAACAGTTTAAACAGGTTACAAATGTAAACGTGTTTACATTTTTTGCACCATATTCACTCTCCAACCCCTCTTCCCCACCAGATCCCTCTCCCACTGCTATCAGCCCTCTGTGCTAGACAGGACTTATTCTCCACTCTTCTTCTTAGGTTTTACAATAAAGAGAAAAGATTAACAAAAAACATGACATTTTTGCTAGTTTGAGACAAAGACAGCTACACGGGGAGTTTCTTTCTGATATTCCATTTATAAATGTGTTATACCCCCAAATTGTAAATCTCCTCTAACTATCTACATTCCAACTTAGTTCCTCAAGTCTTATGAAAAGGTGACCTGATGTCCTCTCAGAATGTTGACCAAATTTACTCTCATACAAAAATGCTAACAATAGCTGACATTAACACAGCATTTACTGTCTGATCTACATTTCTTAGTGCTTGGTAATGAACTCATTTGATTTTCCACAGAAAAAGATACGTAAATATTATCATTATTTTCTTTACATGGAAAAATTACTGCACAGAAAGCTTAATCAATATGCTGAAAGTCTGGAGCTTTTAATATTATTTTAGCCAGGATTCAAAATCAGATAGACTAGCTTGAACCACAACAAAGTTATGATTTTCTGTCTTGCACAATGGTGTTGGTGGAGTATAAGAAATGGTAGAGTGAAACCTACAGCCTAAAAATCTGCACATCCATAGAGCCTATTGTGATAAAAAGTTTAGTGTGTTTGTTCTGAATATAAGGAAAATAAAGAATCCTGCTCCACAAAATTGACCTGGTCATTATTCTACAGAAATTGCTTAATATATCCATCATTTTGTAGTTAACAAACTGATATTATTTTATATAATCACATATTGAGAGAGAGAGAGAGACAGAGAGATGTACCTCTTGGAAAATGAAAAGTTTGCTTCCTGAAGCAAACCACTTTGTGTTTAGATTATGCAGTTTATCCAAAACTGCCTTGATGTCCCCAGGCCACATGTGCTTAGAAGCATCAAGTCTGAACCCTGCTACTCCAATGTCGATGAGATTGTTCATACAATCAGCGACCTTGGTACAAACGTAATCATTTCCAAGTGCAAGATCAAGAAGGCCACTCAGACGACAATCTCTGACCTGTTGAGGTAAACATTTTGTGATTCATTGATGAAACACCTCTTACCTAGAGTTCTTGTGATTATTCATGCAGTCTCTTATTCACCAATAGACCTTTCCACAATGCCTTTACATGGGGTGCTGGTGGTATTAAAATTCTGCTGTGGATGTACCATAAAAATATTTTTGAGCATAAGTGGAGAAAGTAGCAAATAAAGTAGAGGAGCAACTCAGTAGTTGAGGAATTGTCTTTCTTTCTCTGTGTGCATGTGTGTCCTTGTGTGTGTGTGTGTGTGTGTGTGTGTGTTTGCATATTTGTAAGTGCTGCAGGTGGTCAACTGAAAGCCTCATGCATGTCAGGCAATGCTCTACCATGTAGTCCCATGATGTGTGGGAAGTTTTTGAATACTGAGGTGGGTTCTTATTTTTATACAGACAGTTCTGGTAATTTGATCTAAGGAATATAACTTAGTATCAGAAACGGTGTTTAAAAAGCCATAGCTGCATATTAAAGGCACAGACAGTTCTTTATTCTGCTAACTAAGAAGAAAGCACAAAGTTACCTGAGAAGCATCACTATAGGTCTCAATGCCTCCACTTGAAGTTTTGCATTTACCATCATTAAAATCCCAAGCTGAGTATGGAACTGCAGAAAACTGCCTGTTCTGAGCATTGAAGTAACTTCCACAAGTACTGCCTGTCCCTGAACCTCCACTCTCAGCACACATGTGGTTAATTACAGCATCCACGTAGATACGGACCTGAAAAGCAAAGTCTGTAATTTAACTTTGGGTAGAAAAGTAAAGCTTTTTTCAGTAAACTTTACAGCATGTTAGGAAACTTCAAACTATCTCTTTGCCATTTTATAATTGCATTTTCCAAAGAAGCAAAAATTAGCTTGAAATGAAAGTAATTTGAAGTGAAGACCTCCAAACTTTCTACCTCCTTCATAAAACATTTACATAACTGACAAGTGGAGAAAACTAGAAAATACCACAACTATGAAGAATGAAAAGAGCCTTTCTTTGCAGAAGTAGGAGTCAACCAAGAGAGGAGAGATTCTTCACTTTTGAAATTTCAGTGGGTCCCAAGGAAAGAAGCTGTTAGCTTCTACTCTCTGGTTAGCATCTGAAGGCGGGAAGGTAAATATTGCTCTCATTATGATTCTCATTTTATGTAGAAAATGGCTAATCACTATTAAAAACAATGATGATGTTAAAAACCCAGGGAATATGGGTGGATATATAAATCCCAAAAGCCTGAGAGCATCCTAACTGGTAATGGGTATATTATAAGGGCTAACAGTCAAGTCAACTTGCCTTTCAAATCTAAATGACCTATCCTTTAGCAGGTAAGTGGTATGTATACAAAAATTGAACACAAGCAAAAACTTCATTTTGAGTTACAGCTGAAGTATGAAATAAGAATTGGAAAAGTATAAAAATGAAATCTTCTCAAGCACACCAAGAGACAGGAAACTGAAATTATTTTTCTACTCGATACTTTTAAAGGAAACTTGATTCACTTACACCAATGTTGTTGCACCTTGTCACCATGTCTCTGAATTCATCTTCATTTCCAGATCTTGTGCATATTTTATAACTAATTGGTTGATATCTTTCCCACCAAGGTCTAAAAGGACTGTTAACTATAACATTTTCATTGGGTGGAGACATCTACAAATAAAAAGGTTTATTAAATTCTAATTATGGTTTATTTATATTACAACAAGTTCTAGAAACTAATCAAGAACCTAAAGTAGAATCTTAGCATGGTTTTAATTTGCATTTCCTTTATTGCTAGAGATGGTGAGCATTTTTTCATGTGTTTTCTGGCCATTTGAATTTCTTCTTTTGAGAAAGTTCTGTTTAGTTCACTTGCCCATTTCTTTATTGGTTCATTAGTTTTGGGAGAATTTAGTTTTTTAAGTTCCCTATATATTCTGGTTATCAGTCCTTTGTCTGATGTATAGTTGGCAAATATTTTCTCCCACTCTGTGGGTGTTCTCTTCAGTTTAGAGACCATTTCTTTTGATGAACAGAAGCTTTTTAGTTTTATGAGGTCCCATTTATCTATGCTATCTCTTAGTTGCTGTGCTGCTGGGGTTTCATTGAGAAAGTTCTTACCTATACCTACTAACTCCAGAGTATTTCCTACTCTTTCCTGCATCAGCTTAAGAGTTTGGGGTCTGATATTAAGATCCTTGATCCATTTTGAGTTAATATTGGTATAGGGTGATATACATGGATCTAGTTTCAGTTTTTTGCAGACTGCTAACCAGTTTTCCCAACAGTTTTTGTTGAAGAGGCTGCTGTTTCTCCATCGTATATTTTTAGCTCCTTTGTCAAAGATAAGTTGCTCATAGTTGTGTGGCTTCATATCTGGGTCCTCTATTCTGTTCCACTGGTCTTCATGTCTGTTTTTGTGCCAGTACCATGCTTTTTTTGTTATTGCTTGTAATATAGTTTGAAGTCAGGTATTGTGATACCTCCTGCATTGTTCTTTTGACTGAGTATTGCCTTGGCTATTCGTGGCCTCTTGTGTTTCCATATAAATTTAACAGTAGATTTTTCAATCTCTTTAATGAATGTCATTGGAATTTTGATGGGAATTGCATTAAACATGTAGATTACTTTTGGGAGTATAGACATTTTTACTATGTTGATTCTACCAATCCATGAGCATGGGAGATCTCTCCACTTTCTATAGTCTTCCTCAATCTCTTTCTTCAGAAGTGTATAGTTTTCCTTGTAGAGGTCTTTCACATCTTTTGTTAGGTTTACACCTAGGTATTTGATTTTTTTGAGGCTATTGTAAATGGAATTGTTTTCATATATTCTTTTCAGTTTGCTCATTGATTAGTGTATAGAAATGCTAATGATTTTTCTATGTTGATTTTATATCCTGCTACCTTGCTATAGCTATTGATGGTGTCTAGAGCTTTTGAGTAGAGTTTTTTGGGTCTTTAAGGTATAGGATCATGTCATCTGCAAATAGGGATATTTTGACAGTTTCTTTACCTATTTGTATTCCTTTTATTCCTTCTTCTTGCCTAATTGCTCTGGCTAGGAATTCCAGTACTATGTTGAATAGGAGTGGAGATAGGGGCATCCTTGTCTGGTTCCTGATTTTAGAGGGAATGGTTTTCATTTTTCTCCATTAAGTATAATGCTGGCTGTAGGTTTGTCATATATAGCTTTTATAATGTTGAGGTATTTTCCTTCTATTCCTAGTTATCTTAGAGCTTTTATCAAGAAATAATGTTGGATCTTATCAAAGGCTTTTTCTGCATCTATTGAGATGATCAAGTGGTTTTTGTCTTTGCTTCTGTTAATGTGGTTTATTACGTTTATTGATTTTCATATGTTGAACCACCCCTGCATCCCTGGGATGAAGCCTACTTGGTCATGGTGAATATTCTTTTTGATGTGTTGTTGAATTTGGTTTGCCATTATTTTTTTGAGGATTTTTGCATCAATGTTCACTAAGGAGATTGGCCTAGGGTTCTCTTTTTTGGCGGTGTCTTTGCCTGGTTTTGGGATAAGTATAATACTGGCTTCGTAAAATGTGTTAGGCAGTTTTCCATCCCTTTCTATTTCATATATCAGTGTAAGGAGGGTTTGGGTCAGTTCTTCTTTAAAGGTCTGATAGAATTCAGCAGAGAATCCATCAAGTCCTGGACTTTTCTTTTGGGGAGACTCTTGATTGCTGCTTCAATTTCATTTTGTGTTATAGGTCTATTCAGGTGATTAATACCCTCTTGGTTCAGTTTTGGATGATCATATGTATCTAGAAATCTCTCCATTTCTTTAAGATTTTCAAATTTATTTGAATATAGGTTCTCGAAAGTAGTCTCTGATGATTTCCTGGACTTCCATGGTGTTTGTTGTTATCTCCCCTTTTGCATTCCTGATTCTACTAATTTGGGTTTTTCTCTCCTCATTTTAGTCAGGTTTACCAGGGATCTGTTGATCTTGTTTATTTTTTCAAAGAACCAACTTTTTGTTTCATTAATTCTTTGTATGGTTTTTTTTGGTTTCTATTTCGTTGGTTTCAGCTCCGTTTTTTATTATTTCTCCTTCTATTTGTTTTGGGATTTGCTTGTTCTTGTTTTTCTAGGAGTTTGAGATGTATCATTAGGTCATTGATTCACGATCTTTCAGTCTTTTAAATATATGCATTCATGGCTATAAACTTTCCTCTCTGGGCTGCCTTTGCTGTGTCCCATAGGTTCCAGTAGGTTGTGTTTTCATTTTCATTGACTTCCAAGAACATTTTAATTTCCTCTTTTATTTCAACAACGACCCATTGTTCATTAAGTAATGAGTTATTCAGTTTCCAGCTGTTTGCATGTTTTTTGTCTTTACTTTTGTTGTTAAGTTCTAGTTTTGTTGCATTATGATCAGATAGCATGTATGGTATAATTTCTAGGTTCTTATATTAGCTGAGGCTTGCTTTGTGCCCTAGGATATGATCTATTTTGGAGAAGGTTCCATGGGCTGCTGAGAAGAATGTATATTGTGTAGAAGTTGGATGAAATGTTCTGTAGACATCAAGTAGGTCCATTTGATCTATTGTATATTTTAGATCTTGGATTTCTTTATTGAGTTTTTGTTTGGATGACCTATCTATTGATGATAATGGGGTGTTAAAATCTCCCACAACCACTGTGTTGGAGTTAATGTATGCTTTTAGGTCTTTCAGGGTATGTTTGATGAAATTAGGTGCATTGACATTGGGTGCATATAGGTTGATAATTGTTATTTCCTTTTGGTCTATTTCGCCTGTTATTAGTATGGAATGTCCTTCTTTATCTCATTTGATCAATGTAGGTTTGAAGTCTACTTTGTCAGAGATAAGTATTGCTACTTCTGCTTGTTTTCAGGGGCCATTGGCTTGTTACATCTTTTTCCAGCCTTTCATCCTAAGCCTATGCTTATTTCTGTCAGTGAGATGGGTCTCCTGTAAGCAACAAACTGTTGGATCATCCTTTTTAATCCAGTACCTCAAACAGTGCCTTTTGATGGGTGAATTAAGTCTGTGAACATTAAGTGTTAGTACTGATAGGTATGTGGTGATTCCTGTCATTTAGTTGTCTTAGTTGTTTCAAGGTTTGATTGTGTGTACCTAAGTTGAGGTTACTCTCTACTTTCTTGCTTTTTCTTTTCCTGTGGTTTGGTGCTGCCTGTCTTTTCATGGTTATGTTGAGTTTCACTTTTTGTGTACAGAATCCCTTGAAGATCTTTTGTAGTGGTGGCTTTGTAGTCACATATTGTTTTAGTTTCTGATTATCATGGGAGACTTTTATTGCTCCATCTATTTTGAATGATAGTTTTGCTTGGTAGAGTATCCTGGGGTTGAATTTCTTTTCATTCAATGCCCACAAGATCTCTCCCCACGCTCTTCTTGCTTTTAATGTTTATGTTGAGAAGTCTGCTGTGATTTTGATGAGTTTACTTTTGTATGTCATTTGTTTTTTCTCTCTTACAGCCTTCAATATTCTTTCCCTAGTTTCTGAACTTGTTGTTTTAATGACAATATGTCGTGAGGTAGTTCTATTTTGATCTGGTCTGTTTGGTGTTCTGGAGGCTCCTTGCATCTGTATGGGAATATCTTTCTCTAGATTTGGGAAATTTTCCGTTATTATTTTGTTAAATATATTACGCATTCCCTTTGCTTGCACCTCTTGTCCTTCTTTGATGCCCATGATTCTCAAGTTTGGTCTTTTGATGGAGTTGGTGAGTTCTTGCATTTTCTTTTCACAGGTCTTGAGTTGTTTAATTAATAGTTCTTTGGTTTTTCCTTTAATTACCATTTCATCTTTGAGTTCTGAGATTCTGTCTTCTGTTTGTTTTATTCTGCTGGATTGGCCTTCCATTTTGTTTTGCAATTCTGTTTCATTCTTCTTTGTGAGGTTTTCAGTATCCTGGGTCTTTTCCTCTTTAATGTTGCCCATTTTTGTCCTGAGTTCATTTATTCCTTTGTTAATCATGTTCTTTGTTTCACTTTGGTGTTTATACAATGCTTCTATGGTTTCCTTTATTTCTTCTTTTGGTTTTTCAAATTTTCTATTTTTGTTGTCTTAGAATTTCTTGAGTGTCTCCTGTACACTTTGGTTGACCCTATCCAGTATCATCTCTATAAAATTCTCATTGAGTACCTGTAGTATTTCTTCTTTTAAATTATTCTTGTGGGCTTCATTGGGTCCTTTGGCATAATTTATCTTCATTTTATTGGAGTCTGGATCTGAGTATCTGTTTTCTTCATTTCCCTCTGGTTCCTGTACTAATTTTTTGCTGTGGGGAACTGGTTTCCCTGTTTTTTCTGTCTTCCCATCATTGCCCTTGGTGTTATTATTGTCCCTATACTGTGTGCAATGAAGTATTTTCTGGCTTATAATAATAACAATGGTGATATTTAGAATGGAAGGGTGAGAGGAGATGGAAAGCAAAGAAATTAAAGGAAAAGGGAAAAACAAATAAACAAGTAGAAAAAACAAAACAAAGAAACAAACAAAAGAAGTTTCAAAGATATAAACAGGGAGAGATAGTGTACTAATCAATTCTAAGCTGAACAGGTATTAGAGAGATGGAGAGAGGATTGAAAATTAAAAATAAAAAAATAAGTAAAAATAAAAACTAAATTACTTTAAAATAAATAAATAAATATAAAAAATCACCACGTTCAAATGTAATAAAATTTCAGTCTTAATGATTTTGTTGTTCATCCCTCAGCCTCCAATCCTAGAGATGGTGCCTCAGAAGTAGTTCTGTGGTTGTCTCATCAACAAGGAAAAAGACTGTAAAAACCAAAATAAAACAAAACTGCACAAAACAAAAAAAACCCCACAAAGTGTCCCAAATTCAAATGCAATACTGTTTCAGTAAGTTTTTCAGCATGCAGGTGTAGTTTGGTTGTTTTCTCATCAAAGGTAGGGAGAGAAAAAGAAAGAGTCTGGAGACAGTTCTGAGAATGGTATCTGCGGCTGTTGCTTGCCTGCCCACTGCTGGCAGCCTGCTGTTGCTGGAGGCGTTATTTATGCAGATCTCAGGGGTGAGCTTAACACTCACCTGGCCCCACAGGCTTTGTTTACTAAGAGTTCTCCAGTGCCTGAGCCTCTGCTACAAGCTTTCCCCTTTCCAAGCACACTGGGGAAGATAACATTGCACCTGCTTTCTCAGGCCAGCGTTTTTATTTACAGTTCACATGGGAAGTGGGCCTTCTCCCCCCTCCTGTGGAGTTTTCCTCCCTCTGCCACTTTTACAAGCTTTCCTGCTCCTGGTTGCTGGGCTTGTGCCACCGCTCCTGCCTTCTCCGGGCCGGCTTGTTTATTTACAGTTCTGTGAGGGATTCCCCTGCCCCCTTCTTTGGCACTCAATGTGCCCAGCCCTCTTTGCTACATGTCTTTTTTGCTGTTCTTGCTTATTATTCAGTTTCTCTTTTTTCCCTGGGTAGGGGTGGTTTATCCAGGGGGCTATGCTGATCTGGCCCAGGATTGATGTGGGAGTACCATGTGCCGCTTAGCTCACTTTGTGGTCCACATCTTCCCAAGCCATCTGGGGGCTTGCGTCTGGCAGTGGCACAGGAGCCCTCCGTTTTCTCTGTTTAACATGAAGTGGAGATGCTCTGCAGAGGCTGGAGGTGTGGAGGAGTCAAAGTTTTGCCTCTTTTGGGTGGTTTTTCCTGTAAGGTGTATGTCTAGCCACTCTCCAAGATTTTACTTTAGGAGGCATGCTTTCTGCTTCTTCCCTCCAGCGGCCATCTTGGAATTCTCTCTGATTCTAGGTTAATGTTTTTGATAAATGTCAAAACCCTTGCAGACACCACTCTAGCCAAGGTATAAAACACCTCACCTACTCAACAGAAAATTCTTTCATCATCTTGATGTCAGTTCTAGCCACAGTACAACAGACCATAACTAATTGGTTTTCATCAGATTAATGACTAGAAAGTGAAGGGAACCACCTGGGCTTGATGATGAATACCGACAGAAAACATACAGCAAACATAATATTTTACAGTGTGAAACATGAAGCTTCACTGCTAGGAAAAGATATAAGGCAAGGATTTTATAGTGTGATACATGAAGCTTCACTGCTAATAAAAGATATAAGGCAAGGATGACCCTAGTTTTTCAATTCACATAGGGAAGACTTCATACAGGCTTGATAGTGTTTCTGGAGATCTGTCAAACCTGTATATGTATTCTTTTGGGCTTTTGCATGTATTATTCTAAAATTTTCAAAATGTGTGTGGTTTTCTTTGCACCTATCATTCTTCAACATCTTTATTCCATTACCTGGTATCCATCAGTTCTTGGATACAGGTAAGATAGAAATCATTCCCTTCATAGCAACTCTAAAAGTAAGTTGGATAACTGTTCTACACTTTTTATTCATAACAGAGAAGATGAGAGTTGGAGATGTCTATCAAAACCTGCCTTGTAATGTAGGCTGTGGAGGGTGGTGTGGGTCTGACAATATAGAGTGGTCTGTGTCTCAAATATCCTACTCAGCTTTTAATTGTTGACTTTCTTCTCCATGGGGCTTATGCATTATATTAGTTCATATTCCATTGCCATAAAAAATACCTGATGTTGGGTAATAATACAGAAAAGAAGTTTATTTAGTCTCCATTTGGGAGGGTGAAAGATGAATATGAAGTGGTCGCAATTGTTTTACTTCTGGTGAGGGCTGCATGGCGAATGACATCCTAGTGTAAGCAATGTAAAAAGAATGACATTTGAGACAGGAAGCCAGAGAGGGAGTGAGGGGTCAGGAGTCAGGTTTTGCCTTTGTAGAAACTCACTCTCTTGAGAAACAATGAAGGTCTCAGAAGAACTTCCTTAATTCCTCCTGAGGACAGCATCTTTAATGATCTAACTATATCCCACGTTGCCCCACATCTTAACTATCCATACTTCCAGCATCATCACAGTAGGATCCAAGCCTTCAACATGGACCCTTGTGGGAAGAGCCACAATCAAAACAAAGCAAGAGTTAGTAGGTAAAAGGATGTAGTGCATGTAATCTAAGAGGACCAATGTAATGAAAGATAACTGTAGCAATAGTATATAAATGGCACAGCATCATTCACTCAAGGAGAAGGAATGGCCTTTGATAAGATGCGGTACATTTTTATCATGACATAGGGAACAAGAAAATTCTTGGGCAATTATACAACAATTCTCCAAGTGGCCATAGACCAACCCAGTTCTTTTCCCTTTCACGCATGTAATTCTCAACAATAACAGTAGAATGTGCTGTGAATACATCCTGAGATAGGGAAGAACTTGCAGGAAAAGCCCTCACACTTTCTGTCCCTTCAAAGAGAGGATGTCCTCCAACCATGCACCCATTGTGACTCCTGCAATCTAGGGCAGGCTTCTTTCTGAGGTTCTTGTGTTATGCAGCAAATGGGGCAGATGCAGATGACATTCCATCTGACCTAGGCAGCTTCCTAATCCTTGGGAATCTGGCTCATCAGGAATGGTAGGCTTCTGATGTCCTTTGATGCCTACCAGTAAATAATTAACCTGTTTCATGCAACTTCTTTTTAGTGTACAAATTCTGTTACACAGGGCTCATCAAATAGTAGAGTGCAGCCTTAAATTCAGTGGTCTGATGTGCTAACCTATGCAGAGTAAATATGCTTCATAGTAGAATATATAAAAAGAAGGTAGAGTGTATAAGATATAGCTTCTATCTTTTCATTTAAGCATGAGATAAAAACTGAGAGTTATAATAAGATTGAGGTGAAAGCCACAAGACACTACAAATAGAAATTCACAGGAAGGAGAATAAGTAGATCCAGGTTCAGGAACAAACTCTGGGGTACATTAAATCATGGATGCCCTAACCAAAGATTCATAGACGTAAAGACAAAGAACATAAAGACATACATTAACAAGTCAATCCAGACATAGAAAGTGAGATTAAGACTATTAAGAAAGTACAACATTCCTGTGAACTCAATGTAAGTAACAATTATGGTGGGCATAATTCATGTGATTTTCATTTATAACTCTTATTTCCTATTGTGAAAACCATACAGATAGGCTGCATTTTAGTGGAAATCATTACTAACAAACTCTACATAATAAATAGGAACACTCAAGAGAAGAAAGATGAGAACCAGAAAATCGAGATACATAGTGGACAGTGCTGTAAATGATGAAAAGAAAAGATATATGTCAGAATGCTTTTCTGAGGTCTTAGAAATTCTTTTCAAAATAGGTGAAAGTGAATCTTCCAAATCATAATAGCATCTTGGTTGTCATTATTATTGTCTATGTGATTCACTATGTTTTTAAAGATTTTTTCAAGCTGATTGCCTATAACTCTCACTAAAAGTTAATGAATAATAAGGATTATTACAAACAGGATGACAAACACAATTGATTACTGTTCTTTCTGAGAATTTAATTTGCATTTTATAATTTTGAATCAACATGAATTGCAATAAATGGGTCTTCAGCAGTAACTAATAGAAAAATAGGCAGTGCCGTCACCATTCATAGTGACACTCAGTTTGGAAAAAGTGACATCAACTTTGTCTCCAGAAATGACATTACATATGTGCCAGCCTGAAGGCCAGTGGCAAAGTAGATGAAAATGACCTGTAAAATAAATTTAATATTTAGCCAAAATTCAACACTGCCAAATGCAAGAATGTGGGCTGTCTCTAAGGCAAATGAAAAGATTAACTTTGTACTGTAAAACTCTTAGATCTCAAAAAGAAAACCCCAAACAGAGATTTCTGAGTTGTTGTCAGGGACAAGGGTGATAGTAGCAAAGACTTCAGAACACCCTAGTCTGTGTTAGAAGTTTAAAAAAAAACAGAATTTGAAGAATGTCAGTAAAGATATTCAAAAAGAATTAGCATTCTGAGATAGAATTAATGACTGTGGTAAATATACATTCTTTAAATATGTCCATTATAGAATTTAAGAAAATACCAATTATTTTTAAGATTCAGCATTATTTATTCACAATTACTTTCTCTGAGACTAAAAAGAATTCAAACAGGATAAATTGACTTACATCTTTAGGAAATACATAATTTGAATCACAAATCTACTTTTATGAATTTAGTTTGACTCCTCAAGCAGAAAGACATTGATTAAAGAGCTTGCTAAGGACATTTTTGGCACAAAAATAATGCTCTTGAATGATTTAGTTTTTGTTTGGCCAGTAAAATAAAATTTATGCAAAATGATCTGAACATGAGTATAAGTTGGTCTTCAACTGAGAGGTTTCAATTGTTTACAAAGAAGTACATCTCTGTGTATGAGGGAGTCATTAGAGGAAATGTATAGGATATAAGTATCAAAATGAAAGGCTAGCAATATGAAGTATTGCAAGTAAACTAAAAAATTTCCAAAGACAATCCTTGATCATATGATGCATATTTCTTACACATATGCTTAAAATAGTATTTATCACAGGACGCAGAGGAGGCTGTATTTCACAGCAGCAGACAGAGTAGTAGTTGAGACACAGAGCTGGGGGAAAAATATGGCAGTACTGAAAAAAACAGTAAATAATCAAGGAACGATAAGAATAAACTAAGATTATAGTAGTATAAAGGATGATTTTTACCTGAGAGCTACTTAACCAGTCATCATTGTTAAAGACAATGAATCCTCTGTTTCCTCTTCCCACATGGTTGTAACCATTATCCCACAAGATTGAAAAAGGCTGGCCATCAAAAACATTTCAGAAGATAACCATGTTCTTAAAAGCACAATGTCATATGAAATGCTAGTACCATTAAACTTCATGATATTAAAAAATATGTTTAGTATCCTGTTAGGATCCCACCTTATTTGACTCTGTTGTTCCCAGACTCAGTCATTGTGACAAGTAGTGTCTGCATTCATGGTTACTTCTTTAATTGCTCCATTATTATTGACTGGTCCAATCCAATGATTAACATCCTTATTTATGAAGAAAGAGGTTCAGATTAATAACATACATGTGTATACATCTTCCTTTTCTATTATACCAGACCCAATTAATTGCACAACTATATATCTTTACTGTTTATATTTAATATTCAACTCCTTCAGTACTTTTATATTCATCTCCTGAGATGTTATCCTATCTGTAGACTATAGTTCTTGAGTGACATATTTCAAAAAGAGCAACATATTTTTGTCCAATTATTTTCTTTTCACCCAATGACTTCTTAACATCACTGGAAGTAGTTGCCATTGAAACTGCAAGACACTTGTGTGAAAAAAATGGGAATTAAGACATAAGTGCCAATAACACTTGTCCAAAATCTCTCTCACTATTCATAAATTCTGTCTGCCTCAGTTTCCTTATGAAAAAAGTAGAGATATTACATGGCCCTAGAAGAATTAAGCAATGGATATGAATTGAAAAACATCCCAAATTAATATCAGTTAGTTTTATGTTAAAGTAGTAACCAATATAATCTACTTCATTACCAAATTGACCAAATCTTAAATTTTTGGGGGGGGTTCTTGGCACATTGAAAGATATATCTAGGAAATAAAACGAAATCTTGGAAGGCTATCAGTGCAAAATCATAATTTGTACAAAACTGAGACATTTTAGCATGCTCCAAACTTCATAAAGGGAAAAAGGGAGTTGGAAATAATAGTTCCTTAAGTTAGCCGAGGGCTGGAGGCTCAAACCTGTAATGCTAACTACTCAGGATCTGGAAGAAACAAGATCAGGAGGATCTAAGTTTCAGTCAGCCTGGGAAAATAATTCATGAATCCCTACCATGAAATAAACACAAAAAAGGTCTGGTGAAGTGTTAAGACCTGAGTTCAAGTCCCAGTATCCCCTAAAAATAAAAAAAATCCTTAAGTCAAATGAAAAATACAGTTTAAGGCCACTCCAAAACTAGAACAACTGGAAAACTGAATTTCAGGGCTCACACACAACATGGATATTTAAAAACAGAAGAATTCTTTGACAAGACTCAAGAGCCGCAAAAGCAATATAAAAGAACTCACCAATTCCATCAAAAGTCTTAACCTGCAAATCATGTTAAGAAGGAGAAGAGATACAAGCTAAAGGTATATGTAATATAGTCAACAAGATAGTAGCAGGAACACACGTGACCAAAATAGAATCTATCTGTGGCATACTACCATTAAAACAACTAGCACAGACAGCACAGAAAGAATACTGAAGGCTGTAAGAGAGATAAATCAAAATACATATAAAGATAAGCCCATCAAGATAACAGTAGATTTCTCAACAGAAATCTTAAAAGCAAGAAGGGCATGGAATGAGGTGTTTTGAATACTGAAAGATAACAATTTCATTCCTAGGATACTCTAGCCAGAATTGTCATTCAAAATTGATGTTGAATAAAAGCCTTTCAAGAGAAACAGAAACTAAAACAACATATGACAAATATGTCAACACTACAGACATATTCTGAAAGGAATCCTACACACAGAGATGAAAGCAAACAAAACCATGAAAGGATGGAAATATTAAACCTCAACAGAAGGATAGATAAGTAATCAGAGAGTAGCATAGAATTGGCTGCACATACATAAATCTTTAAACAACAAAATGCACTAAAGGGCTGGAATCACCACATACCTTTAAAAATTAACACTCTATGCTAATGGACTCAACTTCCCCAACAAAAGACACCTTTTGTCAAATTGCATTAAAAAGGAAGACCTGACAATCTATTGCTTGCAAGTAACTCACCTAATTGACAGAAACAAACATTGTCTTAGGGTGAAAGTTTGGAAGATGATTTACCAAGCAAATGGTCCCCCAAAACATGTAGACTAGCAATACTTATGTCATATAAAGTGGACTTTAGACTAAACTAGAGCGAAGATGTTCATCTCATAGTATTTAGAAGAGTGATCTACCAAGAGGAAATAGCAAGTTTAACTCATATGCACCCAAGGTCAGTGCACCAACTTAATTAAACCTACACTGATGGAACTCAAAACACAGAGAGACCACAGCAGAAAATACACAAACAATTGGAAGCTGCACAAAATGTTGTTCAATTACCAGTGGGTCATAGAAGAAATAAGAGAGGAAATCAAAAGGTTCCTAGAATTTAATGAAAATGAAAACAACCTATCAGAACTGGTGGGGACACAGAAAAGACAATAATACCAATGAGTGCATACATTCAAAACACTCAACTAAATGACCTAACGTTGTATCTCAACTCCTAGAAATCAAGAACAAGCTAAACCCAATCCAAGCAGAAGGAGAGAAACGCTGTGGTACATGCATATGTTCAAAAGTACAAGTCTACTAGCATGGTGGACAGCAGCAGACCTGCCTATGTTGTGTACTTGAGGCCGAATAGAGACAGAAAAATTGCCATG